GGGGGCAGACGCGCCCTAGTGGGTTGTGCCCACCCAGGTGCCCCTCTCGGGTACTTCCTGGCTCCACAAACTCTCTTATTTGATATAAAAAATCCTCGCAAAGTTTTGTTCCATTCCGAGAACTTTTATTTCTGCACAAAAATAACACCATGGTTTCTGCTGAAAACAGCGTCAATCCGGGGTTAGTTTCATTTAAATCATGCAAATTAGAGTCCAAAACAAGAGGAAAAGCATTAGGAAAAGTAGATATGTTGGAGACGTATCAACGGTGAAAGGCCCATAGAACTTCAATGAGAGCTTCTAATTGTGAAATGTTGCAAGAGACTTTTGCAAGTAAGATTGTATTTCGATGTGCCAAATCTCCCACCTCAAAGGAACATTCACTTATGTTCTTTTCTTCCTGCCACTTCATATGGAACTGAGCTTGCTACAATTATTGGTGCAACAACTCAGTCATAGACTGACGCTCATCCAACATCTCGGCCAAGTCTGTGTTGGACACAGTTGTGGGCACGCCAAAGGGGAGAGGTAGATATCCATACACCGCCTCAAATGCGGAACATCCCGTTGCAGTATGAATTGAAGTGTTGTACCAATGTTCATCCAGTGACAACCATTTTCCCATTTGGATGGAGTATCGTGAGCAAACCACTAAAGAAAAGCCTCAAAACATTGGTTCAAGCGCTAAGTTTGGCCATTTGCTTTCGGGTGTCGCGAAGAACTCATGCTTAGAACTGTATCTGACAACCAAAAGAGCTCTTGCCAGAAGGCACTGGTGAAAACTAGACCATGTATGATATGATGTGAAATGGCATTCCATGAAGAGGGTAGAATTGATCAAAGAATATCTGTGCCACTTGTTGAGTTTTGAAGGGGTGCTTTATGGGCAGGAAGTGGCCACAATTCGTAAGCTTGTCGATCATGACCAGAATCACATCCGTGCCATTGGATTTAGGGCGGCCTTCCACGAAATTCCAACCGATAGTATGCCACAGATGTGATGGACTATTATGTGGTTGTAGCAGCCAGGTTGATGGCAATGCTTCGTCTCAGCTCGAGGGCATATGTCACATTGTTGGACGTATTGAGTAACAATTTTCTTCAGTTGTCACCATGCAAAGGCGTTTGACATGTTGCTAGATAGCCAAAACGCCGGAGTATCCACCCATGTATTGCTACCCACTTAGACTGGCCTTTGAATCAGACACCACTTTGTCCGGTGAATAACCATGAGTGGTTCCTGTAAGTGACAACTCTTCCTACATTGTCTTAGTTGCAATATCCTCCACACAATCCTCCATGAGATTTTCCATCCAAGTAGGTACGACAACAAACATGCGAATACATGTGTCTGATGCACACGTCGAGAGAGTGCATCCGATGCGGCATTTGTAATGCCACACTTGTACTGGATCTCATAATTCAGTCTCATTTTATCATGAATGCCTTGTGTTGGATTCCCGTATGCAATCATTGATCAGATAAGTGCAATAGAGCTTAGTTCTAATCACAAATTATTGATGTTGAAGGTATGGTCACCATTTATCGACAACAATAAGAATAGCAAGACACTCCTTTTCATATTTGATGAATACCTGATTCTTCTTGGCACATAACGCTTTACTCAAGTATGCTAGAGGGTGACCTTGTTGCATCAACACCGCCCTACCACTTCACTGCATGCATCTATTCCCAAAATAAAGGGTTGAGAAAAATTGGGCACTGCTAAGACTAGTGTGTCGGCCATGACTCGGGGTTGGTTTTGAAGGCGACTACCACACCTTTACATACGTCTCCAGAGCACACCAAAATCAAGGAAACTTTTAGAGAAATCCTAATAGCCTAGGAGTCCAAGCTCCAAGAGTAACAAGTTGATGATGTAGAAATAGTTGGGAAAACAAAGATAGATTTGGTAAGAATGTAGATCGGGTGAACATCCTCCAATCCCGAAATGAGTGTTTGGGTGAAGGGGGTGGAGATCTCAAGCTTGGAAAAGATTTTAGAGGAACGTGGAAGAAGGAGGGGGGTTATACCCCCAAGCCCAAATGACCATTGCCCAACAGGCAACTCCGGGCACCCGGACAAAAGGGATCCAGACACCCAGACCTAACAACGAGTCGATAGCAAGGAGCACCAAGCACCCGGACCAACCAGAGGGGAAACCCCCTACTCCGGGCACCCATGTGCTCTGGACCCGGGGCACCTATACCATGATGAGGTGGGTGGTTGCTTTGTGATGACTCCTGGTACCCGGAGGTCCAGGACCCCGGGCACCTATACCATGATGAGGTGGGTGGTTGCTCTGTGATGACTTCAGGCACCCAGAGGTCCAGGACCCCGGGCACCCAGACTTCCTGTCTTGTCAATTTTAGCATTGGTAAAAACCATTCCATTTGGTGGCATATTTGGGAGAATAGAGCATGCATGGATGGAATGAGTTTACCAACTCTCTCAACATAGCGGATTTTTCAGCGACTCGGATTAAACCAGAAAAATTTATGAGCCAATGAAAAGCACAGTCCTTTCTCCTTTTTATATAGGGCGCCACTGATATCTTTTAGACACACATGAGAGTTTCAATGTGTTGGGAATCGTTGCATGGAAAACTGAAATGTTTCTACGCACACGCAATGATCTATCCATGAAGATGCATAGCAACGAGAGGGGAGAGTGTGTCTACGTACCCTCATAGACCGTAAGCGGAAGCGCTTGATAACGCGGTTGATGTAGTCGAACTTTCTCCGCGATCCAACCGATCAAGTACCGAACGTACGACACCTTTGAGTTCTGCACACGTTCAGCTCGGTGACGTCCTCGCCTTCTTGATCCAGCAAGACGGGCGAAGTAGTAGATGAGTTCCAGCAGCACGACGGATGGTGACGGTGATAGTGAAGTTACCTCCACATGGCTTCGCCTAAGCACTACGAAAATATGACCGAGGGACGAACTAGAGGGAGAGGGGCGCCGCACACGGCTAGGGAATCATGGTGTGTCTTGCCCCTCTCCTTCCTATCATATATATAGGTGGAGGGGGAGGGGAGGAAGCCCCTAGGGCGCCCCAAGTGGCCGACGGTGGCGCCTGCCCTGGCCGAATCCCCCCTTTCCATATTTGTGTATGGGGGGAGGAAAGGGGGGTTGGCTGCCTTAGGGGCGCCTTCCCCTTCCTTCCTTCCCTCTTTGGTACATGGGCAAGGGGTGGAAGGGGCGCACCAGCCCCTTGTGGGCTGGTGTGCTTCTCCCCCTTTGACCCATAAGACCCATACACTTGCCGAGGGTGTCAGGAACCCCTTCCGGTGCCCCGATGACTACCCGGTGTACTCTAAAACTCTTCCGGTGTCCGAATACCATCGTCCTATATATCAATCTTTACCTCTCAACCATTTCGAGACTCCTCTTCATGTCCGTGATCTCATCCATGACTCTGAACAACATTCGGTCACCAAATCATATAACTCATATAACACTATATCGTCAACGAATGTTAAGCGTGCGGACCCTACGAGTCCGAGAACTATGTAGACATGACCGAGACACCTCTCCGGTCAATAACCAATAGCAGAACCTGGATGCCCATATTGGTTCCTACATATTCTACGAAGATTTCTATCGGTCGAATCGTTATGCCAACATACGTAATTCCCTTTATCCATTGGTATGTTACTTGCCCGAGATTCAATCGTCGGTATCTCTATACCTAGTTCAATCTCGTTTCCGGCAAGTCTCTTTACTCGTTCCATAATACATCACCTCGTAACTAACTCCTTAGTCATTTGCTTGCATGCCTATGATGTGTATTACCGAGATGGCCCGGAGATACCTCTCCAATACTCGGAGTGACAAATCCTAATCTTGATCTATGTCAACTCAACAAACACCTTCGGAGATACCTGTAGAGCATCTTTATGATCACCCAGTTACGTTGTGATGTTTGATAGCACACAAGGTATTCCTCCGGTATCCGGAAGTTGCATAATCTCATAGTCGAAGGAATATGTATTTGACATGAAGAAAGCAATAGCAATAAACTGAACGATCATTATGCTAAGCTAACGAGTGTGTCTTGTCCATCACATCATTCTCCTAATGATGTGATCCCCTTATCAAACGACAACACATGTCTATGGTTAGAAAACCTTAACCATCTTTGATCAACGAGCTAGTCTAGTAGAGGCATACTAGGGACACGTTATTTGTTTAAGTATTCACACATGTATTTAAGTTTCCGATCAATACAATTCTAACATGAATAATAAACCTTTATCATGAATAAGGAAATATAAAATAACAACTTTATTATTGCTTCTAGGGCATATTTCCTTCACAATGTCCTGAGACTATACCTGGCCATGGGAAACCCGGCCCCGTCGGGCCTAACCGAACAGCCCGCTCTTGCCCACGAGCCGGGCCTGGGCCTAAGTTTTGAGCCCAAAGGCTGGGGCGGGTCGGGCTTGGGCTTAGCATATCTGCGTTTTAAGGAAGAGGCCCTCTCGAGGCCCGAGGCCTGACGGGCTTCTCCATTGATGGGCCTGGCTTGGGCCTGAAATCTGGGCTCAAAGGCCGGGCCTGGGCCTAGGTTTTCTACCGCGGGCTTTCTTAGGCCCGGCTCGGCCTGATTTATGGCCAGTTATACCTGAGATACACTTAACAACTGACATTAGATCTTCCTAATCCTATTGTCAACAACACAAAAGCAATAATTGAGTGATATGCACTTTCAATCTTCTCCTTTTTGATGAATTGATGATAAATACACGAAATTATAGCTTTTTTTTAAGAAAAATACAAAGATTCATATTGAAATTTCTAAATTTGAGGAAAGGGGTCGAGTTCCACGGCGTTGGCTTCTGTTGCCCCTGGACTGCGCCGAAACGTCCGATTTATATCAGACGATTCCTAGGAGCGCGTGGCTCGGCAGGGGATTCGATCCATTCCCTTTGTGTCTTATCTCCGGCGCAAAGAAGCCTCCAGCTCCGGCCGCTGAGCCAACCAAAACGGAAGCCATGGCGACCACGTCGACCACCCCGTTCCACCGTCTCCTCGCCCCGGCCCGGTCGAATCCCGCCGCGCGCCTCTCCCTCTACACCCGCGGCCCTCCCATGCTCTCTTTCTCCCGCTCCATCTCCGTCCGCCGAAGTCTCGCTGCCGCATCCAAGGACACCGCCAGCGACAAGGGGCAAGAACAAGAATCGTCCACGGCAGCGGGCGGAGCCGCGGAGCCCGCAGAGGAGGAAACACCTCCGGGTGAAAAGACCTCAGATGAAGTGGCGACGGAGCTTAAGGAGGTGATGCGTGCGCGTAAGGAGGCGGAGGTCGCCAGGGGCGGCGGTGGGTGGTGGGCCGGGGTGGCGCAGGAGATGACGGAGATCGAGTGGCCGGCGCCGGGGAAGGTTCTGGGCACCACGGGGGTCGTCCTCGGGATCATCGCGGGATCCACGGTCGCGCTGCTCTCCGTGAACGCGATCCTCGCCGAGCTCTCCGACCGTGTCTTCGCTGGCCGGGGCCTTCAGGATTTCTTCTAAGGGTGAAGTGGCATCAATTTGTCTCCGTTTATATTTCGAGAATTCAGATAGGCGTATTGCAAGGTTGATAGATTGAAAATGGCTGTGTTGCTGCAAGAGAAATATGATACGCTGTTCCGCAGACAATTGCATTGTGCTAACATGTGCGTGCGATTCGGTCTTCGGGAAAGAGTTTTGGCTGGCATTTCTGTGTTAAACTACTCTTACTCCGAGAAGAGAAACCTAGCTGAGTTTTTATGTCGGTAGCACAAACAGAGCTGGTTAATTTACTTGATAAATCTGATAAACTTACTTGCACTTGGCAGTACTTTCTATTTAGTGTAGAGATTTGCTAAAGCTACATTTCTCATCCGCACAACATTTTAGCTTAAGTTGTAACCTCGACAAGGAAACATCCTATATATCGTACTATTATGAAATGACAGAACAGTCTTAACAGTTAGTTCCAGCTAAACCTCTTGTCTGAAGGCGACATTTAATCTTGTGGGCTGATCTATCTTGTGAACCCAAGTGTATGGTCATTCTTATCTACAACCTCATTCCCGAGCAGTAATATTCACAGGCAGATGATGCAATTCTTCATGACATACATGTATATTGGGTATTGAATTTCGGTGTTGGTTCCAGATCATTCATATTCTTTGGGTTGTCAGAATATATGGTTTTGAAGATACAATCGCCTCTCCCGACCATGGCTGATCTGTATGGCTTGGTATGGATTGCTCCTGCTCTTTTTCTATGATCATGACATACATGTATATTGGGTATTAGATTTGGGTGTTGTTCCTGTATGTTTTGGTATGGTATAGGTTCAGCTATTGGTCGTGTTGGAAGTGCGAGAAAACAACACCCACCCCCGCGTCTGGCGACACGGGGGAAACCCTCGCCGCCGGGAGCCCCCCTTCGACTCCGCCACGCCCACATCGCCACCGCCGGAGGGCCGGCCGGCGAAGCAGCGCCGCGCCCAGGGATGGTGGCGGCGGGTCGATTCCGTTCCTGCCCCGCCCCGCCCCTGCAT